TTTTTTCCGATTGAAAAATTGAAAAAAGTCTGAAGGAGTCGAAAACAGATAGTTTCTCAACTTTTCATAAATTGTCGATTTTTGAATATATTACGAGATCGAATCTTCTAGGGTGTAGGTGTGGGTGAGAATGGGTGTTGGTGTGAAGGTGTGAGGGTGTTGATTGTGCAAGACAATCACACCCTAAAATCTCTGTTTATCGTGAAATTAAGAAAAACAGTGTTCACAATACTTATTAAAGGTTGATAGCCAAACTAGAGAACTATAAAAGCTAAGCATTACCCAGCCAGAGAAACAACGGAAAAAATGATGCTTTCACGCATAAAAAAAAGTGCACATTTTACCTCGTTAAAAAGGTCTTCTTTTGTGAGGAGAAAGTAAAATCGCGAAAGGTAATGTGACCGAACTTGTTTTTTCAAAAAAAAATTTTTTTTCTTTACCCATTCAGGCTAGTAACGACAAAAACGACGTTTCACGCTTAAAAAGCGCATATTTTAACGTCTTACAAAAAGTCCTTTTTTTGTGAAGAAAAACAAGTTTGAAAGCGTCAGCTTCCACCAACTCGCTTTCTTGTTACAAAAATATCTTTTTTAACGCGTTAAAATGTGCGCATTTTATGCGTGAAACATCTTTTTTTCCCTTATTTATCTGCCTGGACAGCTCTTTTTCGGTCTCTCGTTATCATTTGAAATTTTTCTTTTAGCTTCGTTTAGGATGACTTTGCCTGTCGCCTATGCCTTGGAACATCTACATTCCCATTGCATGAAATTGTCAGAATCAGGAGGGTGTAAGTGTAGGTGTGGATAAAGAAAATATGATTCAAATACTCACGCCAGCACCTATCCACTCAGACCCCAAGCCCCACACACCACACCCTCAGAAATAGTTCGATGTAGATAAATTTCAAGACGCCAATAGGAGCAATATGCAGCCCGTCAAAAGCTGACTCAGATTTTATGTACAGAATGTGGTCCTTGTCGATTTGTCAGTGCTTGGGCGAGCGTGAAGTAGTGTTTACCTACTTTTTTGAATATGTGAAGAAACGCAGTGTTCGGAGAAGCCTGGCTTTTTACATGAAGTAGGACATATTACGCGGATGGCTCTTAGGTACTGTTTTGTGTAGCAGATGACGAGTTTTCAGATGATACCAAGCACAGCTCGATGGAACGAGAATTGATTGTGTGTAGGTGAAAATACTATAAAGCTTCTGTAAGGGAAATTTTCGTGTTCTTTGATAAAAAATCATTGGAGAAATCGAACCCGTTCTCAGTCATTTCACGCACTGAATAGGTCATACCTAGTGCCAAAAGATGCGCCGTCTGACACTGCATCCAACTGAAGTGTTTTCAGAGCCAACAGGCAACTCCTTCGAAAAATAAGCCCGGGAGCCAACTTGTGGTTTTGATGCGCTCCTGCCCTTTGCGTGTTTTCAATGGCGATTCCCTATATCCAATAGACTTCATTTGGATGATCACATCAGGACATTCGCTGTCGATTATATGACTTTTGCTGAGAGAAGTTGAGCTCATACTCGTTTATCTAAATATTATAAGAATATTTAGGTCTACTAAAACTTACAAATTCTTTATATATATTTTTTTTCGATTTTTTGTCTGACTTTGTTCTTTCTATTCCATTCAATTTATTGCTTTACCTTTTTTGAGTTTATTCATACATAAAAAAATGCAAGACGAGAATGTCACAAGAGCAAGTCTATATACGAAGTCAGAATACCATGGTATAGTCGTTGACCGCCGGACATCGATGTTGCCTTCTATAATAGAGAATAAATTTCAATCGTACGAACTTCCAGTTGACTGGAAAATGCGATATTTGGATTATATTCCATATTTTCAGCTTATCTTCTTATGTGGAAATATTAGTATTGCATTACTACTAAATTATATTACATTGGAAGAAAGCGCAAAGTGTAACATGTTTCTCATACATTCCTTGGTAGAAACATTTACTTATCTTTGGTGGAATATTAAAGATGGAAGGAATCCAAAAAATATTATCGAGTTCTCTGCCGAAGGTTCGTATGGATCGAAGAGGTTAAAACTATACATTCATATCGGCATATTATATGGTCTTGCCACCGTTTTCCAGTATTTGAGTTATGCTTACTTTGATGCTAGTATCGTCCAAGCGTGGTCCATATCACTACCGGCACTGTATGTTTTATTCTCAGACATTTGGTTCCATCGATTTACCTATCCTATTCAAGTCATCTCTATTGTATTGCAGCTATTGATGATCTCAACATTCACCTACGTTACCGTATCAACATATTATCCCGCGTCACGGGCTATTGAATTAACCACAAGCACGTCGTTACTACGATGGGATGGAATTATTTACATATTTCTGTTTATTGTCTTTTCTTTAAAAACGCAGTTGTACTTGGAGAGAGGATTTTCCGCCGATCGAATGGCTACAGAAGCAAACGTGATAACAAGTGCGTCTTCATGCACTCTTGCTTGGTTATTGTATTTCACAATTACACCCACATTCTCATTGAATTGGGCATTTACCGGCAATCACGCGATAGCTATCAGTATTTTTGTTATTCTTGCTACAGTCATGCGAATTCTCAAGGGATTTCTGCATCATATTGAACATACAACATGGCACAATGAAATCGCAAGGTCTATATCTCCATCTATTGTGAGCTTATTAAAGTACATAATTGTGTTTAGGAATAATTTCCAGTTTTCAGTACTTTACCTTCTTCATCTTATTCTGCTGTCTCTTTGTAATTTCTTGTTTCCTGTTAGCACTGGTGCTTCTCAAATTTTGTATACATGGATTCTTCCAGTTTACAAAGATTCGGTACTCGTTGCTTTGCAAAAACGTGGTCCGGTCAAAGGGTTCTTCAATGCCCAGGGAGGTAAGTTTTACGGAAGCGAAGATGCGATCGGTTCAGCCATCAGGGAACTGAAAGAAGAAGTTGGTATAAAATGCAATCGAAAACAGACGCATTTGATGTATACAACGGCATGCTACGGAATGACAGACTTTGCTATCGTCGTAGAACTGAACGAACAACAAGCACACTCTATAAAGGAAACTGAAGAATCTCTATGCCAATGGTTATCATTTAGTCATTTTGTTGGCAGTGAAGCAAAAGAACCTAAAATGGAAAAAGGAAAATACTTTGAATATAAAAGAATTAAACTGACACCAGATTCGTGGAAGCGCATTCAAAGCATGATCCGTTGTTGGTTATCGCGCCAAAAGGTTTTTCAAGTAGCATCACATAAGACGGTCACTATGCAAAGGAAGAATTATACAACAGAAAGTACCACAGAAAGTACTTATAAGGGATATCAGGAACTTCATGTACAAGGTAGATTTGATAATTTTGGTAACTTAAGTATCGATGCTAAAACTGGCAAACTGACCAACAACGTCAATTGTTTGGACACCAAAAGAGACGATATATATATAGATCATAAATTAGAAGATCTCACAGATATCGAGATTAACGTACCGAAAGACTCATCAAGTGGACAGGACAGTTGTGAAAATAGCATCTCGGACTTGACAGGATTTGACTTACATTTGACCAAGAGAAACTATATCCAACAGTGGATGCGTCCCCTGAATTATCGTCTAAAGTCACTTTCAGGTAGATACATTGTGTCAGCACCGCGACCTTCAAATATTGAGGATCTTTGGAAAAGTAAATAATTTTCTCATTATTGAGTATGTTAAGATCGTTGTTTGCACTAAAGAACACTATCCATTTATCCCGGACCACGAATTTTAGCCATGATATGAGTCGTCGATCCACTCAATCAATTTTCCAACTTCTAATTTTTCCATTTGCGTTTTTTCATCGCATAGATTAATACATTACAGGGAAGTAAATAATTTACTGTAAATTATACGCATTAATCCGGCGCATTGTTTTATTGTTTCACAATCAATTCATTTAAATAACAAGAATCATTTTCTACATTTTTTCCAATAAATAACTTATCATTTAAAAACTAATAATATTGAAAAAAGAATCTATTTGACTTTCACAACACGCGTTTGTTTATTTTTATTGAGTTTTACGAAAAAAAATGTTCATGCAGGTGAGCTTAATACAATATTTCAATCAATTTTCATTTTTGATCATTGATAGCCTATCAATGATAGGGTGTGGGTGTGCGTGTATGTGTGAATGTCGCTATCACTACTATGCTTATCAGTTACCTGCACCGAAACCCGCACTCACACCCACCCAACCACACTCACAGTCATATCAACTCACCTCATATCCACGCACCCACACCCTCAAACATATTTTGCTTCTGATTTCATCAGATCCGGATTGTGAATAAATATTACGCATCTAATAGAAAGTGGGAATTCGCCCAATGTTATTTTTATTATCATTATCCTTCGTAACATCATCTTCTTATCGTTAATATTATTGTAATCTTACTTACTCAACTTTTGTAAAAAGAATAAACAAATTCAAAAAATATATTACTCGGAAGCCTTGTTTAGCTTGTCTAAAACACCTTCATTATCAAGACCATCTACATTTATCATAAGAACATCGAGATTGGCCGTATCATTTAATGTCCATAAAGCAGCATATAAATATCGTTGTAACATTTGTGAATCTGAGTTTTCGGCTACAAAATACATTGCACGTACAGAATTACATATCTCAGGCGTTAACTCATGTGCTGTCCAATGAATGAATCCGACTCGTAGTCCCCGTTGCTTAGCTGCGCTGACTTCATCAATAGACCGAATTAGTCTCAACGGAACATCAGGTTTGTAATGCTTATATTTCATACCTGGCGCCTTCGGTTTCTCATTATCCTTATTTTCACAATCACCTTTCGAATCAGTAGATTGACACCATACAAACGATCCTGGACGCAACACCGTTGCTTTGTTCGATGTAGTAAGATCAATAATGGTTGATTCAATGCCATACTGACAATGTTCGGATGAGTCGACAATTCCATATACGCGTTCTCCTAAGTCATTCCAAACGTGCTCTGCCGTTGTTGGAGATGGTTTTCCACTTGTGTTGGCAGATGGGGCTGCAATAGGTCCTGCTTTTTGAATCAAAGAAAGTGCAATGGGATTATCTGGCATTCGTACAGCTACAGTGTTTGGATAGTTTTTGTTAATCATCTTACAAACTTTGTACGGAGCAGATACATAATCATATGGAAGAATCAAGGTTAACGGAGCGGGCCATTCCGCAATCCATTTTTGTACTTTATCCCCTAAAGTTTTGTAATTTGGGACGAGTTGTTCGAGTTGTTCCAAACTCGCAATGTGAATAATCAGAGGGTTGTTGAAATGACGACCTTTGCTAGTGTATATGAGGTTCACTGCTTCATCTGAGTCTGCTCGGGCTCCCAATCCATAAACTGTTTCTGTTGGGAATGCGACAACTTTTTTATTGATGATCAAGTCTGCGGCCTGTTCTACAGAAATATATCGATTCGAACTCATCTTCAGATCTTCGATCTTTGATCGATGCCTAAGAACGAGTTCTTTTGACGGATTTAACCTATGACGTAACATCTCGTAGACAGACCAAGCAATCATTCCTCCATTATCCACGCAGTTCTCCATAGGTGGCGCAAATACATCAATGTTGTTCTCTTGCAAAAATAACCTTATATGTTGATTTGCTGAGACACCTCCACAAATAACCAGCTTCGTCTTCTGTTGTGCCATTGGATGTTCTTTTTTCTTTGATTCTTGAACTTCTGAGGATGGTTCTGGTTCGGACGATACTTCTGGTGCGGGTTGATATTTGATGTTTCTTTTCAGTAAACCCAAGATATGATGAAAGTAAGTGCATTCAATACCATCAACTTCATCAAAATTCATAATTTCAGACCAGTCATTAATTTGTTTTGGTTCAGTTGATGCATTTTTGCAGAATGGGTATATCGTATTAGCTTCGATAGCTCTTCCTCCGGAACCATGAGTTTTAATGTCCAATCCTAGTTTTCGTGCAACCAGATCAAGAGCATTTCCCAATCCCATACCCTTTTGTTCTTCCACTAACTCATAATGACGATAACGTTTGACATAGAAGAGTTGAGTGTGAACACCACTAAGAACGAGACAATAAAATGGAAACTCGACATCTGAGTAAAATGCCCTAACGACCAAAAGATGTGCTTCCAAATGGTGAACTGGAATAATTTTATTTCTAGTTGCAGAAGTTTCAAAGGCGGACAAAGCATATCTCATCCCTTGATAAACGCTGGACATCATTCCTGGTTCAGTGGAAACCCCCACGTAGTCTACGTCTGCTAAACGTAGGTTGTTTCTGGTGAGAACAGTTTCAACAGCAATGGGAATATTCTTCTTGTGCATAATTGATGCATACGCTTTATCAATATCGGGTCGAGATGAATGATAGTCCCAACTGGTTAGTTTGATCTCATCCACTAGTTTTCCATCAACAACTAGACCAACGCCTGTGTCATCGCACGTGCACTCAATTCCCAAGATTACCGACATATATTTTATACGGAGCAAAAATGTTAATTTATTTATTTTATCCACACTCCAAAATGAATCTTCAGTTTAATTCAGAAAAGAATACAACGAGTATTCCCTTTTACATCTGAAAAAACTGAAATTATAAAAAATTATTTTCTCCCAAACGGCGAAAACACCCGTTTATTTCTCTAGGAAAACTTTCGAGAAGAGAAAGTGCTGTATTATTATCTTGAGAGTGTGGGTGTGGGTGTGAATGAGAATATGAGTGTGGATATAAGAGGAGTACAACACCCATACCTGCTGGCACTGACGACTACGAATTTGATAGTTCGTTAGGTATCTCCATAATTGAGAGTATATGAGGGATTTGTTCCCAGAAGCACAGATACCGTTCTGAATTGATTTAGCCGAAGACTTTACAGGGAACAGCTAATCCGAAAAAAGCATATGAATTGTATTTTTCTCTATTCGAGTTTGAATTAGAGCTGTCAGTATGTTCAAACGGAACAAGAGTCACAGTAACGTCGTCTATAAATAAAGAGAGAGACGGAGATGAAGCTGAAAATGCCGCGTGATGAATACTTCAGTCAGACACAGATGTACTTATAAATAGTTTAATATTCCCTGATGTATCTATGTGAATCTTTGGCTTGTAAATCTAACAGTAGCAGGATCAAATTCGTAGGTTTTTAGTTTTATTTTTCTACGAGAAGAACTTATACTTGTCAGAGGAAGATTAATCTAACTGATGGATATTGAAATTTAATCTTTATTTCAGATAGAACTTATTCTCTCGACTGTAGGGAGGGTCATATGAAAAAATTGTTTGTGGGTTTGTTTGTTCGTGTCAAGGTCAAAGAAACATCTACTTCCAAATATATCAGTCTGCGTGGAAAAGGGTGGGCGTGGGTGGAAAAAGAGTCGGGGTGGATCGAAGTTAGCTGCGTGGGTGACATAGTATGAGTGTGGGTGGAATAGGGTGAGGTGAGTAAAACAGGTCAGACGCGGGTGAAATGGGTAAAAAGTGGGTAAAATGGGTGGAAGTGAGTGAAAGTGGGTGGAAATGGGTCAGAAGTGGGTGAAATCGGTGAAAGTGGGTGAAATGGGTGGAAATAGGGTGTGGGTGTTGGTGAAAGTGTGTGTGTGGCTGTCGTACTTGGTATAGTCAGGAAGAGAGTTTGGATGTGAATTTGTGTGAGTGAGTGTCGCTGCAGTTGTACAAGTTGAATGAGAGTGGATAGATGCGTATCAAGGTCGTAGCGGGTGTAGATGGGTGTGGGTGTGTAAGCTTAGGAGTTAGTGAAGTTGTTGAATGAATGTGGCTGGAATTGCTGGGTGTGGTTGAAAGTCTGGGCTTCTTCTTTGTTCTAATTCCTCACCGATATCCGTATTCACATCCAGGTGCTCATCCACACCCACTTCGACACTCTTACAGTCGAGGGTGAAGTGAGTCGAAGCGGCGAACATTACTTGTATATAACTGAATGGAATAAAAAAAACGATGATACCTTAAAATAAAACAGATGAAAAGAAAAAATACGTAAACTATAACAAGGGAAGAGAAACATGTGAAAAATGCCTTAGCACGAAGGATAAAAAATAAAAGGGATATATGTTTACTCAACGTGTCATTGACGTACCTTAGCAGAATAAAAGAAAGAAAGAGAAAAGGAACATACCAAATATACAAGAGTCGCACTATAACAATACTTTTAATTCTTTCTGGTTCATGCATGCTACTACGAATGCTAACATTCGGCACGAGAGAATATAGACTAAATTCATTTATACAACTCTAAGTAACAAGCAACCATTGCGTTAGTGACAGTGATACGCTAGGAAAATACAGCGATCTAAATTTCAAAATAGAAGATTTTGCATTAGATTATCTATGCAAGCATAAAATACAGTTAGATGTACTTTTTTATACAGTAGACAAGAGGGAAGAAATTTTGTCTTTCATAATATAATGAAATAGAAAAATAACGTTGAAAGCTCCATTTCAGAAAAACTTTTCAAAAACTTCCCAGGTTGGGCTTAAAGCTATCTAGGCAGGGCTTAGCCCCACCTACCCCTACTTGTGGCTCCGCCAGTACACAGAAGGAGGGATGGACCATTTTGTCTAATCCGACTTATTTAAGTCACTTTATTGAGCTGTGTCACTCAGGCCTGTAGCCGAGCATTTTCCAACGGGGGTGCACACCAGCAGGAAAATTATTTTTCGCTTCGTGAATAAAATTTTCATCCGTAACCCCCCTTCAAGATTTTTGTTCTTTTCGCCAAAAGTGATGCACTCCTCCCTCCCTTGGCTACGGACCTGGTGTCACTTAACACTTAATATTAAGAGTTAATGCAAAAACTTAATATTTAATATTAAGTGTTAACTTTAAAAAATTAAGGTAATTCTAAATTAAGCTAAATGGTCCATCCCTGCATAGAAGGCTAATGAATCAGGTCCAGACCCGTGTCTGGGTCCTAATGAGTTTAGACGATCGGGTGCGGGTCCGCGTTCGGGCTCTAAAAACCTTTAGTCGGCCGGATCAAGGTCGGATTCAGTTCCGAAAATTCTTGAACCTAATGGGCTTTACTGGCAACAATAAAAATATTTTTCATATCCAAAATAAGCAAAAAATGCAATCTAAGTTTTCAAACTGATGAAGGGACGAATCTAATTTTCTTTAGCTAAGAAATTCAGCGAATCAGACATATGCGTAATAGAGAACTAGTTAGTCGGGTTGCACCTAGCCAGAAATTTAGTGTGTCAAGTTTTCACAGGACAAACGATTCGATCCTAATATCCGACAAGATCGGATGTCGGACGTTATATGATCTTATAATATGATGCTATAAGATCAAGCGACATCATATCGTACTATATGATTCTGCAAAGATCTTGCCGTTTGGTCAGATATTATCATCAGATCATCAGAAATCGGATGTATGGGTAAAATGTTCGAAGAATGTCATAGTACGATTTGATGTAAGATTTCATGAATTACGCTTTTTTGTACGATTTCGTCTGATCATACAAGATCGTACATCTGCTTCTTACCTGGGTTCCTATGCGGAGCAATCAAATAATGAATTTTCTTGAGATCAAGAAACAGCATGTTTGGGTGTGGGTGTGTCCACATGTTTCATTCGGAATCCATACCCACGCCCTCACAGAAAGGGTTCATTGAGTGAAGTTCCATCCCATGTAGCCGAATAATTAGAAATAATGCGAAAATGACTAATTATCTTCCATTATTTCGTGAAAAACCATTTTTCGGTGAAAATAATGCAATATTTCTCAGGTTTTCTCCATTTTTAATGCATTATAATTCATTTTCTCGAAATAATGCAGAAATGTTTTATAATTTCTTAATTCCTAATGAGTTTTAATCCATTATTTAGAAATAATGTAGTAATATCAAATAATTCAGTAAACTGTAATGGATTTTAATGTATTATATAGAATAATGTTGAAATGTTCTTTAATTTGTTATTTTTTAATGGATTTTAATGTATTATATAGAATAATGTAGAAATGTTCTTTATTTCGTTAATTTCTAATGGATTTTAATCCATTATTTAGAAATAGTGTAGAAATATCAAATAGTCCAATAAACTGTAATGGATTTTAACGCATTATTTAGAATAATGTAGAAATGTTCTTTAATTTGTTATTTTTTAATGGATTTTAATGTATTATATAGAATAATGTAGAAATGTTCTTTATTTCGTTAATTTCTAATGGATTTTAATCCATTATTTAGAAATAGTGTAGAAATATCAAATAACTCAATAAACTGTAATGGGTTTTAATGCATTATTTAGAATAATGTAGAAATGTTCTTTAATTTATTGTTTTCTAATGGATTTTAATCCATTATTTAGAAATAGTGTAGAAATATCAAATAATTCAATAAACTGTAATGGATTTTAATGTATTATTCAGGATAATGTTGAAAGGCTCTTTAATTTATTATTTTCGAATTAGTTCTAATCCATTGTATAGAATAATCAAGAAATGTCTCTTTATTTTTTTGGTTTCAATGGACTGGAATAAATTATAAAGCAATAATGTATAAATACCTTATAGTTCATTGTTTTTCGAAGAGAAAATATCAATAAAATTTAGCTAAGTATCTAAAATAAAACACAACGAAGATTGAATTTATCAATGTTGTCTCAAGAACATTCTTCTAAATTAGGATATCGGTAAAAAGTGCAGATTTTGTTCTTACGTTCATAAAAAACGCATTTTTCAACAAAATCATTTGCGCTAATAAACACACCACTCGTTTGATCGTCGAATGAACCTGTTCGAATATGTGAATATTTATAAGTATCTGTAATAGTCTTGCACTTAAAATCAGTTGTGTTGGACAATACATTAATGTAAAATATTGGTTCAGCATCGTTGACGGTAAAAATACGATGAATTCGACCGAAAATCTCTTTAGATCCAATTTTGAATATAATGGACGAGTCATCAGTAACTTTATTTTTGGCGTAATGAGTAGTTGTTAATCGCACTTGACCAATGAATGCAGTGGAATAATAGACTATAGCACCACGAAAAATGGAACTAAGAAATTTATCCGTAATTTTTATACTATGTAAAGTACGAACAGGATTTGTCAATGATGTAGAAGAAGAGCATCGTATATGTAACCAAGAAGAAATTAATTCGCGTAAGTTCATACACATACTATTATTCTTAAGTTCAAAATGTGCGTCACGAAGATAAATAAGATTATTCATAATTTCGATTGCATGTCGTCTTGTGCTTTTACAAGAACGAGTTAATAATCCTAAATACAAATAAAGTGTAAAACAGCTATAAAAGTTCGAGAAATAATGACTTATAGATACCGAGCTGATTCTCAAAATTGAATGTTGAATATGTTGACAAAGGGCCGAAGTTTTGTAAAGTAGTCGACATGTGCATAATTGAGTGAACTACCTGATATGAAGAATGTAAATTTAAATGCATAGAAAGCTTCCTAATATGTCTCGTAAGATGGTAAAATTTGTTGTTAGAAAAATCGTATACTTTATCACGTATCTTTCCAGCAGTGGGTCGTTCACGTGTCTTCAGAAAATAAATATTTAAAATTAGATTCTAAACTCTATCGATTAAAATTATGGATTCTAAACAAATTTATTCATAATTAAGTTTTAATTAGTAGATTAAGCCTCTACAGTGATAGTTAGTGAAAGAGCTTAATGTGGAAAATAGATAGCAATTCTAGCACGAAAAAAGAATAAGAAAATAAAAGATCAACCTGAACATTGTGACGCCTTGTATACAATTTTGGAAAATCCAACAGAAATGCGTAACATAATTTATTCACAACCTTGATCATGTCATAAGTCAAACAACGTGACTCAGCCTATTGAATTAAAAGTTCATATCAATGTAGAATTAGTATCAAGTACTCTACTTATAAACTTACATAATGAACAGCTAGTACAAGTAGCAGTAAGTGTTCATAATATTTAGGCTGAAGAATGTCTTCGAAAATTGAGTGACCGAATAGTAAAACAAGCCGAATTTCACTGCCCTTATATTTTGCAAATTTATGAAGTGAACGTGGATGACGTGTGGTTGTAGATGGAAAACGAAATCTGACCAATAAAGTAGACAATTCGTTCGTTCGACACCACACAGACCAATCTTCATCTTTATTTTGATGGTTAAGCCACAGTGATAAAAGTCGTTTCTGTAATAAAGCATAGATTACAAATATATAGGAATAGATTTACTGGCATACTTACACATAGCCCTAAATAGATATTATGTAAGCTATCCACAAGAAATGATTTACCAACATCATAATATGATAACGTTCGAAGTATACAAACACCTTTGAAACGTTTTTGTATTTGTTTATGGACTTGCATAAGAGCGCGTCGACCACGTGGACCATTAAGAGCAGCTATCTTAATCGCACTTTGTTGTAATTGTTGAAGCAGTATATCGTGTCTTTCATTGCTACGTTCACATGCTCGATTGTTTTCATATATAGCAAAACTCACAACTGATCCACCTTTCCTTGTTGGTACACTTACACCTAAAAACATATGCTAGTTGTGCATGTAACACACAACCTCTTCAGTAGTGTAAAACTCGTTAATTCGTTACGAGTTTTAAACTTTACTCGTGTTTTAAACTATTCGACACACACCTCTAACCACACTTACACCTAAAATCTCACCCACATCTTCATCCAAACCTACGCATACATCTTCATCAACAGCTTCACCTATACCTACATCTCCACCAATGTTTCCATCTATGCCTGCATCTTCACCAACATCTTTATCCGTACGTATACCTAAATCTTCACCTGCATAGTCATTCACACTTATACGAATAGTTTAAAACTCAAATAAAGTTTATAATTCGAGTCGACTAGTTGACTTTCACATGTATGTAATTAAAAAAATGTTTTTTAGATTGCTATAACTAAGCTAGTTTTCGATTTTAATTTATAAATACAGTATTTTAATAGAAAGATGACACCGACGCTAACTGATGTCAATTTTTCAACTAGAATAAAAAATAACTGAGGAAAAATCATAAACAAACACCAAAGCTAGTAAAAAAAGCAGACCGGAAATATAGAAATACTGTATTTAACTCACCCTCTACCTCACAGTGCCCGCATCCAAAGAAGGCTGTAGGCTCAGGAACACACTGAACAAGACACTGGGCTGGTTTGTCGCAGCAGGATGCTATTAAAAATACTTTTATAAAATCAAAATGATCATCCTGTTCCGCTGAATAAAGCTGAAACAGTTGACCTTTTTCCAAATTTTGTAGTTCTAAAACAATATTCTTAAAAAACAACGACATTTGAGCTCGTGATGGTTTTGACGGGCCCGGCCACATTCCACCGATGATTACATTTTCTGGAGAATATCGTTTTTTGCGTTTAATTTCATTAACAACAAATAAAGCAGGCCAGAGGCTCTGATCAGATCCCTTATTCGGCTGCACCCCGTCCACATTCATCGTCAGGGTGATAAATGGTCCAGACTCTTTCTCAAGTAGGTTTTTATACACGTTACCATCAGTGATATCTCTCATTATTTTCTTTGTAGAAGCATCAGAAATTTGTATTACCAAGTCTTCTGATGTAGCAAGTACTGCTTCCAGTTGTCGAGTGATATCATATGTATAAAATAAGGGGATAGCAGAAGATAAAATAGGAGCATAAGGAGCATCACAAGCAGTACATTTATCCATTGCACTCGATAACATCTGACAATGTGGACAGATTGTGGTTTTTGTTGGCATTAAATGCGTACTTGAACGTTTTCGTAGTAGTGTACACAATGCTTTATAACTAGATGGAACCTTAACTTTAAGTAATTGAAGCAGAGCAAGTATATCTTCGATGCATTTGTTCGAAAGATGATGTCTTGCTTTGAGAGCAACTAATGCTGTTGCAATATGGATAGGATCTATCATTTTATTAGGTTCTTCCTTGGGCATAATAATATTATCAAATATTGACCTAAGATCGTTACGAGAGAAATATATAAATTAGAGTACTGATCACGAAGACTTACATTGATTCATGCATATTAACTGTTGTGTTTAGTTGTGAATCATTCTCGACAGGTGATCTCATTTCCTGCTCAAGACTAGAAGATGTATCACTATCAAAACGGCAGTCAGGATCCAAATCTGTAAGTACATCGATAGTAGGTGGTGGAGGATAAACTGCTTCATGAGTACCGACTTGACTGAATCCTATAACTTAAATTTTCATGACAAATTAAAATAAAAATATTCATTTTTGAATATACCAAGATCATTATTAGCCATTCTTGTTTGCCGACGACGCCAATCAGTTGATCGATGTGCGTCAAACACAAGGGGGTAACAGCGGACTTCAAGACTTCAAGACTTCAAAGACTTCGAAAGACTTCAAGAGACTTCAACAAGGGAGACTTCAATTTTTCAAAAGACTTCGAAAGACTTCGAAAGATTTCAGAAGACTTCGGTAGACTTTAAAAGATTTCAAAGAATTCAGAAGACTTCGATAGACTTCAACAGACTACAAGAGACTTTAAGAGACTTCAATGGACTTCACAGACTTCAAGAGACTTCGTAGATTTTAGAAGACTTTATTAACTTCAAAAGATTTCAAAAGACTTCACAGACTTCAGAGACTTCAAGTAGTTTCTAAAGACTTCATGAGAGTTCATGAGACTTCAAAAGACTTTACGAGACTTCATAAGATTTCATAAGACTTCGCAAGACTTCATAAGATTTCATAAGACTTCATTAGACTTCATAAGACTTCATGAGACTTCATTTGACTTCAGGCGTGAAGTCTCTGTTGTTTCCCCCTCGATTGAACAGAATAATATCTGTGAAAATACGACATTTTCTTTGATTTTCTCGTGAAATATATGCATCCCTGAAAATTCTAGAAGACATCATGAGACTTCGCAAGACTTCATGAGACTTCGTGAGATTTCATGAGACTTCATGAGATTTCACGAGACTTCATGAGACTTCATGAGACTTCGTAAGACTTCATGAGACTTCGTGAGATTTCATGAGACTTCATGAGATTTCACGAGACTTCATCAGACTTCGTGAGATTTCTTAAGACTTCATGAAATTTCAAAGACTTCTAGAGACTTCATATGAGTTCAAGACTGTCTCCAGAGTTCAACAGACTTCGTGAAAATTCATAAGACTTCAAGACTTCATGAGACTTCATGCATGAAGTCTCTGTTGTATACCCCTTGGTCAAACATTAGTAACTAGAAGTTGGAATAAATGCAATCGAACATATTTTTTTTCTTTTATGTTTTTCTTTATTATTTAGATATAAGTAGAAATATTACAAAAAAAGCAGATGAAAATAGTAAAATACTCTCTTGCAATGAAAAAATCATAAAAAAAATGTAAATAAGTAACAACAAGAAAGAATTAATATAATGCGATGAAATATTGTTAATCAGAAAAAACTAGAATGTATACACACACAAACTGTTCAATGTAAGTAAGTATTTTATTGTTCATTATCTTCATCATCTTCAGAATAATTATTTAATCTGAAAATTTCCATATCATGTCGTTCTTGTTTACGTTTCTCACTAGCGAAAACATTGCCTATAGCGTTATTTAATACAGAATTTGATGTTTTCGATTGTGCAGGATGAACAATCCTGGCGTAATCTAAAAAAAAATAAATTGATAGTTAATAAAATTTAAAAATATTACCATGAATTGCTTGCAATTTGTCAACATCCATTGATGACACAAGCATTTTTGCACGTTGTTTAGTATCTGGATAGAGACATTTAATAAGCTGTCTACAAGTTTTAGTAATATTCATATCATGTTCACATAGTTTAAGTTCAGATTCATTTCGATCTAATGTAGTACAAATTTTCTCGAGTTTTTCTCCTTTTTCTTCTTCATTATCATCATTATCGTTTGATGTACCAGATAATATTCTGGCTATTTCAATGAAATAGGCTGCCACAGCACCTGATGGTCGCGCTTAAAGAAAAGAGTTTTGAGACTTCAAAACAATAAAAAATACTTACGCATCCAGGTATTCTTATACATAGTTAGGTCTTTATTCAATCGATTATTTTCTCTTTGTACTTTTTCATACGATGAATGAGATACTGTACTAGCACGTTTGACTCTCTTGGTAGATGATGTTGATTGTTCATTTGGTTCTTTTCGTTTATTAATTTCAACAGGAATATTAGTTATATCTATTAAAATTCCTAAAGAAAGAAAAGTATTTAGATGTGATTAGCTTTAATGATAGATAACCAACTACATCATTAATATAGAAATGCTTATGTGTATTAATAATGATATACAAACTAACTTTAATCTAACCATGTTATTATTTAATCTAACTATATCAGTTAATATCGAACTGACTTACTATCATCAGTACCAGAAGTTGTTGGTAAATCTTCTTCTTCTAATAACCGTTCATCAATATCATTTTCATCTTTTTCATCAATATGGAACTGATCTGATTCATCAGATTCATCAGATTCATCTTGTTCATTGTTGTCATCGTTGTTGTTGTTTGTCTCTTCGATCATTTTGATACTATTCTCACATAATTCCTTTGTCGCTATAAATAAGAATTTAAAAATATTTTTTCACCTATACTATTATCAAGACTTACCAACTACAATTACTTTTCCTCGGACGCGATTTGCACGATCTCCATCACCATTATATGAAGCAGGTGTACCGATACGTAAGTTGTCTTTTTTAGCAAATGTTAATTTATCACGTGCTACGATATGATGAGATGAATTCTTTTCATCGTATAACACAACCCACATCGATTCATCAACAATTTTCTTTGTTTTTTTTTGTGGCATGATGAAACAATTATAATATATAATTAAGTATTCTAAAATGAAAAAATAATCCATAAACTATTTGTCGTTATCTTATAACATGTTTTCTACGAATACGACAATAGGCACGATGATCATATATAAATGACCGCCATGGCGGCCATTTTTATATCATCATCGTGCCTATTATCGTATACTTTCTAAGGAAACGACAAAGAAAAGTAAAGAAGTAACCGTCCAAGTTATTTAACCAACCATCGTGGTAGACATCTTTCTCTTCTCAGTAGGTGGCAAACGCGTACGAGGCAAGATTAATTGAATACGTATTTTTCAAATCAAATATTTGCTTACATATTGACTTAAGATAATTAAGCCCCTGCACTGATAATTATCTTTTCTAGTATACTTCATTATTTCTCTTTTTTAATCCCTTTACAGTTACCTAAATCAGTAGCAAATCGCTCATAAATCCTACTTGCCAGTATAAAACTATCAACTTGATTCTCTTTCTTTACCTAAGATTTTTTGTGTTCCTTTTTCGCTGTAAGAGGCGCGAATAATTATTTCTTGTCTTACAAATCACTTTTTCAAACCATCTTCTTATCTTTAGTTAATAAAAAAAAACTATTGAGTACAGTGTCCTGTTTAAAATTTCTTTTAAACTTTCATTCTTTTTCTTTTCATTGTTAAAGTAATA